TCTGAAGTGCTAGCGTCACGTAGTGGTAAAATAACGGAACTAAAAATAAAAAGAGCGCACGAGTATGCGATAAGGACAGTAATAGATTTTAATCTTTTCACCGCTACGCGGCGCTAGCATTTCAGGGTTCGTGAATTGCTTAAATTTTTATTTGTCTTTAAATTTTTATTTGAGGAGTAATTTGCAAATTTTTGCGGTTGTATCTTCATTTTTAAACTCTATGCTGTTCCCATTCGACTTGAAAAATGTATCAATGAAGATTTACAAATTTTGTTCAATAGATCGAAGCACTCTTCCAAATAATATTTAATTTCTCGCTATAACTACATTCAATATTTGAATCATAATTGTTCATGAACATAATTAGAGGTATGTACAATAAGTTTTACATAATTTTGAATATAAACTTTCGTCTAGTCGGTTATTTATTAATATTAAAATTCAATAGAATATTTATAGAATATTTATTAATAATCATCATAGGATTGAAATTATTAAATAATATTTTAGTCAAATATTTATGAATTGTTAATCTAACGATTAAAAGTGTCACAGAAATGCATTAAGGATATAAATGTCTCAAATAATTTATTAAAAATTTGTAATAATATTTAGAAATGAATTGTGACAATTAAAACATTGTAAATACTAAATAATGTTTAAACAATTGAAATATTTAGAAATTTAAGGAAAAATGTAGTTAAGAATTCAGGCTGATGTGTTCGCGGCAAAGGTTCAATTGATAATGAGATCGATATCGATTAAAGTTATCTTGACCTTTTGGTAGTGACAGTCTTTGTAGTAACTTTTACATTTTTAATATAATCTAAATTTATATCTACATGTTATTAGTCTTTGTTATGTTATTAATCTTTAACTGTATTAATTCCAGACTTTCATTAGTACTTCACATCAGTGTATCGCTTAAACAAAGCGATTACACATTATTTAAAACGCTTGGAAGAGGGATCGAACATTGAATACAATATTTAATCCAGTTCTCAAATCCATCGAAACTCTCAAAACTTTCAAGACTTCCGAAACATTCAAAACAAAACTTGCAGGATTTTTTACCTTGGTATCGTGGTAACAAATTTTTCGTCACAGATTCTGCGACTCGAGATCCTGTTACTATTTTGATTTCTTGTATCAGAATTCTTGGTGGAGGTCTTATCTGTAGATGGTATTCATAGGTGTTAAAACGCGTTGTATTTCATAGTATTATAGAATCCGGACGTGCAACCTTGGCTTTTGCGCTTTCTCAAGGCATCCGATTTATACGGCGCTCTTGGACCTGGTGGTTCACACGGACCATATTCGGCCGAACAACAGGGCTGACTCATTTACCGAGTATTCGTCAAGTGGCTCTTCTGGGCCATTGTATTGTAATTTCGGCAGATCGTTCATTCAGCAGTCACGCGATTTATATACGCGGCTCGTGTAAGTACAGTGGTTAAGATCGTCCCGATGACCACCGATCTACCGTCCCAACGTCTCACGAAATTGCTTACACGGGTCCTTTGTTAATCTCAGACGCGCTTTCGATGTTAATGAACACTGTATTATCCTCAATGAAACGATCTATTGAAATCCGTGGCCGGTTTTGCTGGATCCAACGACCACGATTGTTCTCCAGCGATTGGTTTAGACTAAGTGACTCGGAATGACTGAAAAAAAAAAAAAAAAA